TATATATATATATATCTAAGAAGTTTATCTTAACATGTTGATTATATAAATCAGGGAGAAAAAAACTTATTATTTTTTTGTTTAAAGAAAAAAACTTCATCCATATATAGGCTGTCCCCCGGCTGCCGTTCGAGTGCCTGCATCCTCCCTCCCATTTCCCGGCAATTTGCCTCTGTTATTATCCCTTGACTCTCTGCTTGCGTTCCAAATTGCTTTTGAGGGTTTGGGAGAATGTACATCAAGGGAGGGGAGTTCGTAGGGTCGATTGAAGGAGCAAAGCTTCCTGTCGATGCGAACCTAGTTCTCACCTCCGATCCGAAGCCCCGTCTCCGGTGGACGGTGGAGCTCCATGATCGCTTCACCGATGCCGTTGCTCAGCTCGGAGGGCCTGAGAGTGAGCCTTCTGCTTCGTTCTTTGTCGGTCTTTTTTGTCTGTTGCTTAGATTTGGTTTATGCTGTTATTGCAGAAATTTTAGGGTGTTTGGATTGAAACGTAGTTGTTTTATGGTTTACTCTCAGGAATCTTGGAATTGGTTAGATTGGGCGTCTTAGATTTCGGTTCATTTGGAAATGTTATATTGTTGACATGGTTTATGCTGTTCTTTGTGAAATAAAGTCGTGCAGATGAACAGGTCGTGAATGGTGTTGTTCAGCTCGGTGACGCCATAAGTGAAATATAACACTCTTTTTCGCATAATTCCTCTGCTATTTAACATTCTGATATGCAAGAAATCTTAAATTGTTAATGAGAAGAAGAACTGAAAAGGTTAACAGAACCAGACCGCAGTTATTCAGGATTGCGGGGTTGTTTGTATAGTCTTTTTAATCTAAAATGTGGCTGGAGGATGCTAGGTTTGAAAGCTGGGTAGGAGTTTTTAGGGGCTTATAACCCTGGTAGAATTGAATCTGTACCGATATAAAGTGCCCAACTGAAGTGTGACACTTGATTTTGCTCTATGGGTATGAAAGAGTTTATCCAAGTTTTGATGCCGCCAGCTTCAAGCTTGAGTTTAGAGCTCGAGCTCAGTTTAATGAGTTCATGCTACCTCTCGGTTTAGCTTGTCTTCTTGTAATAGAGAGAAGATGAATGTAAATTTACGGAGTTTTGTGCCAATGAAGTCATCAGAAGAACGAGAATATTTGAGAGAGAAGGGATCTAAGATTTTAAATTTTTTAGAACTTCTAATTTAACTCATAAATTTTTAATTTTTAAATGTGATTTCATATTAATAATTTTAAATGATAAGACTCAAGAAGCAATAATTCAAGTTCAAGTTGACTCATGCTTAGCTCGTTTGCTTATCGAGCTCATTTTACAACTAGATTATTGGGTCGAGCTTGTGCTAGCTCATGAACCAACTTAGCTTATTTACACACACGGTTGTAATTTAATTGAGGTAGATCAAGTTTTACTTTTTTCAAGCTCATTTATTTATTTTCTTATCGAGTTTGAGTGGAACTTGAACATGATCCCAGTTTTACATTTTTTTATCAACCTTGTTTTATACTTTATTGATTTGAGGTATAATTGTGCCTAACTAATTATCTATTTGATGCTAACAATTTAAAAAAAATAAAGTAATGCTATGTGTGAATGCATTTATAAATTTTAATTGAAATTGATATAATTTACTCGTTATTTTTTAAACTTGTTCGATTAACTTCAATTATTAATAAGAAAAGTTTTAATCTATAGATCTAGCAATTTTTTGATATTTTCATTTTACTTATTCCTATAGTTGTCTACATAAAATTTAAAATGAATTAAAAAGAGAAAAAATAATAGAGGAATATACATTTAAGTTGTTGAATAAGCAATCAAGCCACATTAAATGAGCATTTTATGTGGGTTATTATCGAGTTATATAAAGGAAAGAAAAAAAAAAAGAAAAAAAAAACATGTTCGCGAGTATAAATGTTCATGGTTGTTATTGAGCTTTTAAAATTTTTTCGAACTTGATCAAATATTTGAATAAATAAGCATAAATAAGTTTTTTTAGGATTGAGCATTGTATTATTCATAGTATGCATTAGTTCGTTACAGCCATAATTACACCTCTCCTTTTCTCTTTAATAGAAGTTAATTCAACCATACTCATTTTTCTTTAGAGCTGACAACTCAGGTCTCGTTTATTGTTAACATAGTTTATATTGTGCTTGAGATGTTCGGTTTGATCAATTTATGCTAGATGTAGAGATTTATTTCCTATTATTGTCTTGATCCTTTTTAGATTTGTTTCCACTTATTTTAATTTTTAAATTTTCATACATATTTACATGAAAAATATGAACATAATTTAGAGCCAATTACTAACCCAAAATCATGTATAAAATCTTTTATTATAAAATTCATGTGATGAACGATAAAATGAACAAAAGAACATATAGATTTTATGTGAAAAATCTAATATTGGAAAAATCACTTAAAGAAGAGAAGAATGCATTATGTCAAATAAGAAATTATAAGTGGAGAGTTTTGGCTAATATAAAACCGAATAAAAGGGAAATATAAATTTTTACATGTACAAATAAATAGAGTTATTTATAAAATTTTGAAGGAACGGAAGAGTTAGTCAATAAAACAAGGGCATATTGATTATAATCTGAAAACTATTATAAGATTAGTCAAACGATTGAGGTCTTCAATCCTTGTGCTCACAATTTTTTTATGAGCCTAATGCAACCCACCGAAATCGGATCACAAATTTAGCTATCTTTTTATATTAATCCCTTCTAAGATATAAAAATATAAAAGCTATTGGATTAAGATATTATCATCAACAATAGGTTCTTTTGTCATGTCTCTCAAGAAGGCCAACAAATAACTTTGGGCTGATCCCTTGGTGGCCAGCAGTCTTCGTCAGTGTGCTGGAGCATATGCTAGGTGATCGCTGATTTATATCAGAGCTGAGAAATAGTCGTTAGGTTGCATCACATGTTTAATGACAAAGGAGTGCAGACGAGACCCATTCATTGATAAGGGCCTATGGTGGTGGTGGAGGCTGCAATTGGTGGGAGATGTTGAGGAGACTAGCTTTCATGTTTTAGACAACAATTTACTTGAGGCAGCTGAAGCTTTTTATCCTTGAGACTGATGGCCAGAGCTAGCGTCAAACAAACATCAAGTAGGTTAGTAGCAGTTGTTGATGTCAATGTTGTCAAGGTTGGATGAAGTGTAGGAGAAAGGAGCCATGGGTGAAGAAACTTGTGGTTTGGTTAGGTTAGTCATAAAGAAGAAATGAAAGGTATAAGATAAGATTTTTTAGGTAATATTACATCATTATATGATCTCATATTGATGTATATATTAAAATATTTTTTTATTGTATTCATCTCTGGAGTCGAGGAGGCTTTAAAGAAAACCAAGGGTGGAAAGTTTGTAGGATCTGATGATATCCCAATTGAAGTGTGGAAATATTTGGGAGATTTGGGAGTTTCTTGGCTTACTAAACTCTTTAATATTTTTTTAAAAACTAAAAAGATGTCTGAGGAGTGGAGGAAGAGTATTTTGATCCCCATTTTTAAGAATAAAGGGGATGCACAAGAGTGTGCAAATTATAGAGGAATTAAGTTGATGTGTCATACTTTAAAATTATGGGAGAGGGTAATTGAACATAGGTTAAGACGCAT